ACATAAGGTTGAGAAATAATAAAAAAAAAATATGGGAAAATTAAAACCCATTTTGTCCCTATTCTCAAGAATCACTACATATATTTCATACATTCTGCAGATAATAACTCTGACTTTCACTTTGAAGCAGACTGTTATCATTAAAGTCTGATTTAATCAGACTTTAATGTCTGATTGGTCGAGTAATTTACTAAACTAGACCAAATAGATTCAGTTTTTATGTATTTTTATTTTCCAAATGATCGGAAAGATGTACAAACTGGATGGATTTTTTTAATGATTCAAACGTTGGTCTAAACATCGCTTCCCTTCATAATTTGACTGTTTTATTAAAATCCTACATTCTTAGTTTATTATTGATAAGATAAAAAATTATGAATATATCTGTACCAAGGTTTTATTGTAACATTATTATAGATGTGAAATTTGTCTAAATTGTTTTATTTACTCTTTAAATTGATTATATTTGGTCAAACTGTGTGGTAGTTTCGCTGTGCGGTTGGTGGTTGCCGTAGCAACCAGTAACCTTCAGCTCTCTGCGTGGATTTGAACATATTTCTGATCAGTTTAACTGCAATCAGGGTCTCATGTATTTCTGTGATGCTCTGTATGTTTTAGCTGTAATTTTCTGGTTATTTGACTATCCTGAGTTTTCCAAACCACTGGATAAACTTTCTGTTAATGAGGGAAACATTTCCTTCTAAATGTACGACTTTGTACAGTTTTTGTGGTGTTATTCCTTTAAACGGTGATCATTTTGCCTGTGAATGTTCAGATGTGTTTGAAGTCTGGTCACCTCGTTGCCCTTGGTGCCGTTGGTGTACTTCTTCTCTTTCAGCTGCTGTAAAACACAAACTGGGTCAACTTTCAGGCAGCGTTGCAGCAACCTGCGCTGCTCAGCAGTGAAAGTTTCCTACCAGGTGTCTGAACTCGACGGACAGGCAGCCATTGGAGTAATCCTCAATGTCCATCACTTTAGTGTTGTTGGTGAGGATGAAGAACTGTCGACTTCTGAGGAGCAAACGGGACGGAGTCCGACTCAGATTCACCACCGAAACGCAGACAGAAACTATTTACGCAAAAAAACTCTGAAATTTTCTACAAAAAACTTAGAATGTTCCAGAAATGTCCAAGGTTTCTGGAACATTTCTGAAATTAATCTCCAAATGTTATTTTCTAATACATTTTCAGTGTTTGGAACTCTTTATCTAGAAGTTTTTTGAGTAATTTCAGTATTTTTTTCTCTGTTTGTAACGGACCTCATCAGAATCCCATCAGAACTTTTTGGACTTTCTCCGTCAGTAGGGAGGAATCTGGACTGATTATTTCCTAATTTGTCGTTCACACTCCAGTGTGACTAACGAGTAGCATGAACGATGCAAAGAAAAAAATCAGATTTCAGTAAAAAAACCTTTGACTTGAGCATCAAGAGCTGCTGTGAAGGTGGTCATAATGTTCTGCTGCAAACTAACTGGGTATGTTGCTGTTTTATAACTGAAAAAACATAAAAATGTAGCTTCATGTTTAGTGTTTTTTATCGGAGACGTTAGGGGAAACTCACACTCTGCCGGCTGGAAGATCCCTGCAGAGACGACGACACACTCATTACTCCTCAGATTAACGTCCAGATTAAAACCAAACAGGATGAAAACTGTTTTCATACTTATCAAATGTTGTTTTCACTTTTAGCTGATAATCCACTTCAGGAAGTTTGACCAAAAGTCTGAAAGGAGGAGAAGAGATTTGCATTACGGCCGCAGTGATGAGGCGTCGTTCAGGAAGCGCTGCGGCTGCTGGGCTCTCAGTTACCGGACTTTGGTGGTGAACTGGACGCCCGTCTTGATGATCAGAGGTTTCTGTGGGTGTGTGGGCATGCAGGGCTGCTTCTCCACCACAAAGGAGCTGAAACCAAACCAGACGTTTAAAACTTACTAAAGACTCATTAAACTGCAATGGACCGAACATGATGATATACTGATGATATATTCGTGATGTAGCTGATGTCATGTCAGATTAAACCGCGCAGCGGCGCCGGTTCACCTCTTGATCAGGTGGTAGATCAGATACTTGACTCGCTCCTCCATCTGAGGCTTCTGCAGCGGGATGGGGTCGCTCTCATATGTCACCTTCACCACCAGTTCTCCCAGTTTGTCCAGCTGCCGTTTGATCTGGAAGAGGCTCTGTGCCGTCAGAGTGAACCTGAGGGAGCAGGAGGGTCAAAGGGTCAGAGCCGTTTGACCCCAACAGATGGAGGTCAGACTCTTAAAAAAACTGTTTAACATTCATGTGATATTTATTGTTTTACAATTTCGCCAATAGAAACATGACTAATGAATTTTACTTTACATAGAATGAAAAACAGAAACTAAAACTGCTAATCATGCTAGCTAATGCTAACCTAGCATACCCACATGTATCTTCTGGTTGCTAAAATCTGAGTTATGTTCACAACATTTAATTTTTTTTAAGTCAAGATTCAATTTATCACTTAATATTTATATGAATAATAAAATACTTGAACTTGATGCTAACATGCTAACTTAGCCTAGCTTAGCATAGTGAGAATATCCCAGGTTTAATTTAATATTCACAATATTTTCTGTGAACTTAAGGACATTCCTAAATAAACTAAACAGTGTATGAAAGGAAGAGAATATTAAAAACTGATAATTTACCACTCTTTTTTTTACTATTTTCCTTGTAGCAGTTATAAAATTACTACTTCATTCTACTAATATCACATTATTCAGGTATTATTCTGACTTTTTTGTCATATAGTTTTTTACTTTACAACTTTTTATTGCACGATTATGACTATTAGGAGTTTATTGTCTTATCATTGTGACTTTTTCCTAAATTATTGCAACTTTTTTCATGTAATGACTTTATTTTTGTGATGTCATAAGTTTTCTCTGTCGTATCTAGATGATGTCATCACTGATATTTTCCATTCATTTAGCTAAAACTGAGCAGTAAACGTATTTGTGTCGAGCTGTTTGTGTTTATAAGCGCTGATTTGGCTATTAAATCGGTTGTTAGGCGTAAATATGTCCGCCTGTCCGCTGAGTTTAGCAGATTATTATCCTGACTGTCATCATAATATTAAGTGATGTTGCTGTTGTGCGTTGCTGCAGCTGTTTACCAGCTCTGCAGCTGCTCCAGACCCGTCAGCAGCGGCCCACCGATGGCGGCGATCTGCTGCCGCCGTTTCCAGTCCTGCAGCTCCGGTCGCAGCTGAGAGGTCATAAGGTCATCGATCTCTTTGATCACCACGTCCATTTTTGACAGGATCTCCTAAAAACCAGAGGAGGAACGAAGAACGACGAGTTTACAGCTGTAAATGTTGGAGCTGCTGAGGCTTCGTGTTTCTGCTGACCTTCCGTTTAAAGTCCAGCCTGTTGAGCATTTCCTGCAGGCGAGTTATTCCCTGTTTGATCATCTCTGATGTTCTGTCTGCCGATTCTGGAAAATCAAACACGTGAATATTCAGTGTTTCCTTCCAGCTGTCCAGACCCTGGAAGCGGCGCTCACCTCGTGACTGAAGCGTCTTGTAGCAGAAATCGAAATCGTCCTGCATGTCCTCGATGTTTTTCACCGCCTGGTCCATCAGCTGCAGACAAACGTTTTGTTTTTATCAGAGCTGATGCTCCTCAGCCTGTTTTCTTCAGGTGTGCTCAGCTACCTGGACGCTGTTTCTGATGATGCTCACTCGGTTGTCCATGTTCTTCTGCCTCTCAAAGGCCACAGAGTTCTGCAGCGACTGCTCCAGCGCGCCCTGCAAAAACATCCAGTTAGCCGCACCAATGTCTCATATTTCTTCATTTTAAATCTGTAAGTTGATAAAGATAACATAAATACAAAGCAGTAAAGAAACTGTTATGCAATGTTCTGTGAAGGCCAAACTGATCTGAGGAGATTGTGATAAAAATGTTATTATTATTGCAATATCACAGAAACGGCCTGAGCTGCAGTAAATACTTCCCGTCCCTGATGTGTTTGATGAAACCTCAGTAAGCTGCAGGTCTTCATGAATCACTTTATTACTTTTTAAAAACTGCACTTTTATTCAAACTTTCATCCTGCTTGGATCTAACAAACATATTTTGTTGAAATATTTGTGTGCAGTAATTTAAAAAATATATATTTTT